GTTCAGAAATTTAACTTCATTTCTTTCTTTATCATTCCGTAATATGTATTGTTAAAACAATTATTATTTGTGGTTTGTTGAATTCTGTGTTTTGTGTCCTTTTTTTTTGCCGGACTCAAATGAGTCCGCCAAATATTTTTTGCTTGAAAAATGTGCCAGGAAACAGAAAATGATAATACTTTCTATTCTCCCTACAAAAGTGTTCAAGTCAGCGAGTGAACTTACCCAGCATTGGAAAATTACAGCATGATAACAATGCAGAAGATGGTAAACTTTCACGCAAAACCAATGAAGTAGAATCTAGGTCACTCATTGAACAAATGGGTCACTAGATATGTCATCAGTGGCAAGAAAAAACAATTAGGTTGGATAAGTGGGTACGCTGATACGAGTTGACTTTTCACAGTTTTTAGGCTTCCGTACTTTAATATTATGGATTTTGGTAGGGGTCACGAAAAACATCTACCACAACATCTTTGAAATTATTTGTGAAACTGTAAATTTATATAAAAGCTGTATATTTACCAATCATCGAAAATCGATGGTTTGTCATCGATTAAATTTCTCATTTCATCCGTATATTAGTGTTAGATCATAAAAATTGTATGAAGAAACGGTAGAAGATATAGAACATTTCTTCTTCGTTGCCGACACGATGTCTCAAGCGACATTAATAGTATTTAACGAAAAATAGGGGAGAAAGAATTGTCAAGAATTGGAAATGTGGAAGGTAATGAATGGAAAAATAAAAGAAAAGGAAGAGACCCGGGTAGACGTAGCGACAGTTCGACCATTTCCACCATTTCCAGCGAATAATCGATATGTACCTTATGACTCGACAAATAAATACGGAACTGGATTCAACCGAGCAAACTACAAAAATTCGAAAATTAACAGGAAAAAACTAAATGGCTAAACGACGAGCGAAAATGACAGTCTAAATATTTTAGAAGAAAATTTAAAAGAAGAAGAATTGAAAGAAAGTAGAGACGTCAGGATCTATCGATCTATCGATCTATCAAACATCCTTTATAGTTTACATTGACTTTCACATGTATGAGCATTCTTAAAGTTGACAATTTTGAAAACCCAACAGCATTTTTTAAAAATATAAATACTAGTTACAATTCTTGCATTTACCTTGATAAGGTCCATCAGAGAACAAAACGTGTCGGTAAAGAAAAGCTGTTCTTTTGTCTTTATTCACACACATACACATGCATATATATACATATATATTAAATTTACAGTGAACAATGGCTGACCACAACTAACAAGTTTCATGCATTTTCATACAATCATCAGGTGCACGAAACGGTTAGTCGTGGCCGGCCACTGTTCACTAGAAATTTAGCTAAAATATATTCAGTCTCTGGCAATTAATATTGCATTGAGCTCTCTTTCCTCTCGTTCCCCGGTGTGCCTCGATAGTAAAATCTCCTAGAAGCTGTTTATTTTATTCACTCACACACACACACACACACACACACACACACACACACACACACACACACACACACATATGTATATATATATGTATATATGCATGTATATATAAATATATGTATATATATATGTATGCATATATATATGTATATAAATAAATATATATATATATATATATATATATATATATATATATATATATATATATATTGTGAAATGTATTAAGTCCGACAATTACTTAATATATTTTTCTGTTTATACGTTATTTTTATAGATATAATTTATTTGAGTAAATAGTCTTTTTTTTTAATTAATTACATTTACCTACCTGAATGTTCGAGAAATTTCGCAGAAAATATGTGTTCTCCGACAGGAATCGAACCTGTAACCCATAATGGGAACCGTCATTTGATCTGATGTACTGTTAACTATTCAGCCACAAATAAACGATCAAGAAAAATTCTCGACGATGTGTGTTTATAAAGAGTAATTCAGACTTTGTTAACCAGACGCTTTTTGTGGCTGAGTGGTTAACAGCCCGTCAGATCAAATGAGGTTTCTCATTGGGGTTACAGATTCAATTTCTGTCCGAGGGCATATTTTCTGCAAAATTTCTCGAACTTTGAGGCCAGTAAATGTAATTAATACAGTTTAATTAAAAGACAGTGTATTTCCTTAAATAAATTATATCGATAAAATAACGTATAAACACACACACACACACACACGCACACACACACACATACATACATATATATATATATATATATATATTAAAGGAAAGAAGTATAACAAAGTGAAAAAAATTTCTTGATCTTTGTCATACGTCTTTCCCTTAGGATTGTTTTTGATATTATATATATATATATATATATATATATATATATATATATATATATAAAACCTATATATATATCGTTTTTCCCATACACACACACATATATATATATATATATATATATATATATATATATATATATATATATATATATATATCCGGCTTCCTAAAAAAGGTAGGAAGTAACACACGGTCGTTTTTTACAAATACACATGAATATGCATATGGACCAAGGACAAAAGTTGCCCAGTTCCAGCGACTACTGTCACGCTGGCGTCCATATTGCACTGACCCACTGAGGACGTATCTGCTGCAGAGTTGAAATCACCTGGACAGGCGCCTTCTCTCTTCTGAGGAGAAGAAAAGTTTACTCCACTTCCGGTCATATATGTATGCATGTATGTATGTATGTATGTATGTATGTGTGTGTGTGTTTGAACGATATAAATTATTAATAGTTAATTCTATATTTTAAATAGACAAGTTTGTACACACAATTCTACTTTTCTTTTTTAATTTCTTTTTTTTTATTTTTAATTCTCCGACATTCGAACTTATAAATTTGAACGATATAAATTATTCATAGTTAATTTTATACTTCAAATAGACACGTTTGTAAACCCAATTTTGAATCATCATCACGAGAACCCGACAGATAACGGTTAGAATTCACACCTGAAGATTGCATTAACTGCATGAATAGTGTTATCGACGTTGGACATTATGTATATTTAATCCCAAATTTTACTGTCGATAACTCCAGAACGGTAGATTTTATCAAATTTATCAAGTCAGATTCGAATGGAGCATGTCCAATTACACATAAATGTAAGCATTTGGGAAATTTTTAATGCGAACTAAGTGCGGGTGTTACACTGCAAATTAACCTTCACTTGTTGTCTTCGATGTATGAAAGTCTTTAGAACCAAAGAACCAGACTATTCGATGTTATAATTTTATTATTATGATGAAGGCTTTTGTAGAGCCAACCATATTTTTCAGAAAAAAATGGATACAGAAAACTGCTGCACACTGTGCCACAAGGTCTTCAAACGGCCCCTCGTAGGTTTTAAATGCAGAGTTATCGTTCTTTTAGACTACTGCCTATTAATAATCAATTCTGGCATGCTTTCTATTTCTCTTCGGAATGCCTAGTTGTTAGAGTTGAATAAATCCGGACCAACCTTATTTGAAAATTGGAAAAATACAATATCAATATATATATATATATATATAGAGAGAGAGAGAGAAATAAAATATATATATATATATATATATATATATATATATATATATAGAGAGAGAGAGAGAGAGAGAGATCCTGAAATCAAGCATTTGAAATAATCGCCATTATCGGTATGCAAGCCGCAAATACTGGCACTCGCATTAAGTTTCCCACAATTTTACCACCAAAGAAATTTACATGTAAAATGTTAGACCTGTAAAGCATTGCCAATTTTAATCCCCCCACCACACGCTCGTGCACATAAACGCAAGCTGATAGATAGATAGATAGATACGAGGACTGATCAGAAAGTATTGAGACTGGTGTTGCAAAAAGAAAACTACAAAACATATCAATTCGGCATTTAATCTCCTTCAAAGTAGTCCCCTTCTCAAGCCACACACTTTATCCAGCGTGGTTTCCATTGATAGAAGCATTCTTCTTCTGGGATAGTGAGCAACTGCCCCATTGCATTCTCTAGCATTGCCTCGAAATTTTGTTCCCTTCAAGTGGAATTTGATTTTTTGAAAAGGAAAATGTCGCAAAAGGCAAGATCTTGGGAATACGGTCATTATCGGAACAGAGGAATGTTTTCTTGGCTAAAAACTGCTACACAAGCCATGGTCACTGCTGGAACCTTTGTGGTGTAGTGAGACGACCATACTTATATATTTTCCTTCCAAACACTGCTATAAACAGCGGAAGTGAGCAAGAAAGTCATAACTCAGTACGCATGAGCGACAGTGTTCAAGGTCAATTTCTGCGAAGCGACTTCACTCTGCGTATCGAGTTATAATTCTACCTCCTCGCGAGATAAAAATAGCGGTAAACGTGCGCCTTCGTACCCATAAAAAACGGAATGTAAAAAGGTTTTTTTTCTTTGACTATTATTTTAACGAACTTCATTCTTCGGCATTGATTATTAAAAAAAAATAAAAACCCCAAAAAACAAAAAATAAAATTGTATTAAAGCCTAAACTTATAATGAAAGTGAATTTATGAATATTCTTTTGTTCTTGAGAATTTAAAACAAAAATATGAAACACTATTAATTTTTTTATTTACAATTTTATATGTACCTCATTCTAAAATCTAATACAATTAGTACAAATGTAATGCAATATTTATCATTTACTAATTTATAAAGATATAAATTAAATATGAAAACAATTTTTATTATTCTAAATTATTAAAAACGATAACCTATCTTGCAATCATTTTTATTAATGTATTTATTTCTAAGAGGGCACACGTGAAAAGATTTGAAACTGAAAACATCCATTTCACTGAAACAGATGTGTCGAACACTTCTTTCTTTCTTTCTTTCTTCTCTACTTTCTTTCTTTCTTTCTTTCTTTCTTTACTTTCTTTCTTTCTTCTCTTCTTTCTTTCTTTCTTTCTTCTCTACTTTCTTTCTTTCTTCTCTTCTTTCTTTCTTAAGAGGGCACACATGAAAAGTTTTGAAACTGAAAACATATCCATTTCACTGAAATGTCGAACAATTCTTTCTTTCTTTCTTTCTTTCTTTCTTTCTCCACTTTCTTTCTTTCTTTCTTCTCTACTTTCTTTCTTTCTTTCTTTCTTTCTTTCTTTCTTTTCTTTCTTCTCTACTTTCTTTCTTTCTTTCTTTTTTCATTTTTTCTTCTGTAAACAATGACCGTCTCGGATCTTTCTTTCTTTCTTTCTTTAATTCATTTTCTCGCTGTAAACAATGACCGTCTCGGATATGTCAGTTCTGTGTTTTCCCGCAGCCATCGGAATAGTTTATTATTTATAAGTTATTGGCAGGATGTTACTAACTAAGGAACTAACCAACTAACAAAGGCAGGGACAGGCAGAATTATAATAGAGATATGTGAACTAACTATAAAGAAATCCTTATTTAATGCCATTTTATAAAGTTTCGTCGTTCCCAACTCCTTCCCTAACGCCTGGTTAGTCAATGTTTTTCCAGCCATTCCAGTAAACAATATAATTGTATAAATAAACAATCTGATAAGTAAATGTGACGTCGTCTCCCCTGTGTTGGTTTCGACACTGGGCGCTGATCTCTACCTGTCGTTCACGGCTGATTTCTCTCGTCGTCCGTGGCTGTAACTAACTCTCTCCTCAGAGTCTGAACTATTGTTCACTCATCTCTGCCGTCAGTGCGCGAACTAATTTCTTCTCTTCGGCTTCGGTTGGACGAGCTTATTCACTTCGGCTTGAGTTGGGCGAATTTCTTCACTTCGACTTGGGTTGGACGAATTTCTCTTCTTAGGCTTGGTTTGATTCCAACTTCTCCACTTAGGCCAAACGGGCTGCTTCACTTCGGCTTCTCTTGCCGCAAAGGGGACTAATGAACAGGGCCCGCAGTCCGTACTGCAACTCCAATTCCAACTCCAACTTCGTCCGAGGCGCAACCCCAACTGATTTCTGTCGATTGGGGTCCTGCTTTTATTGAGGCAGTCAAAAACTGGGGTGGGTCTGTCGGCGCCAGGGTTTTCTTGATAATTCTAAAGACGTATTATTTCTGATTAGGGATTTTCCATTATCGGTAACTTACTTTCACTCCTACTTCCTTACTGTGCCTCTGGGGGTGAGGCGTGTACCCGCTTCCCCTGGTCCCTCGTATGTCAGGTGACCGCTCTCGACCAATGGGGTCCTGGTCGGGCATCTTTCCTCCTCCCTCGCACATCACGTGACCGCCCTCGGCCAATGAGACTCTGGTCGGGTGTCTCTCCTCCTCCCTCATGTATCATGTGACCGCCTTCGGCCAATGAAACTCTGGTCGGTATCTTTCCTCCTTCCTTCGTGACGTCTCTAATCGGGCGTGGACAATCCGTGGCTTTGTTCTGGGGGAAGAAACACCTTGCTAAAAAAAACAAAATTTAAATTGCCCTTTTCGTATGTAACTGAAATGACGCTATCGGTTTCTTTTACACGCGGTATCTGTCAAAACAGCCTACCGCTAATTGGATACGATCTAAGAAAGGGATTTTCCTAGACCTGTCGGCGTCTCTCTGGACGCAACAAAATATTTCATTCTCTTTCTTTCGCTCGTAGCTTGTTAACAAAAATCTTAATTATCTCAAAAAGCGACATCACCTTGGGTGTTTTTTTTTTCAACTCTAGAAATTGTCTGGGTTCTTGTATTAATGCTTTGTTTTCATATCCTTAGATACACTTCCCCATCTGTTACCTATCATCTCAATGACACCCTTTTCATTTGTTACTTATCAATATTTCTTTTTTCATTGTCTCTAAAATTTTATTTCTTCAACCAAATTGATAATAAACTCCATCCTCCGCGGACACGAAAGTAGGTCGGTGCTTGACCTGATATTTTGACATCTGATATGTGCCAGTCGAGCGTGTGTTTTCGCTTACGACCTGGTTTCGTATTATTTATTTTCTCCTTTCTTTCCTTTTTTTTTTTTTCTTTCTTTCTCAGATCGCCTAAATGTAAAAAAAGATTCCTAACCCCAAATATTTTTCATCTCTAAATAACTATCAAATGGTTAACAAACCGAAAAAAATAAATCATATATTTATGAATATCTCTTTTCAGTTTTCTAATTATGCATGGTGCCACATAAGTATTATTTATTATTTTGTGTTAAAATCTCAAGAACAAAGAAAATCTACAAATTCCCTTTCATCATATATTTAGGTTTTCATTTCGATTCTAATCATCGCTTTTTAAAACAATAATCATGGCCGATAAGTGAAGGTAGTTAAAATAATAGCTCTGTTAATGGAAAAACCAAATACATTTTCTTTGTTCTTGAGAATTGTCAACAAAAATAATAAATATTATTTATTTATTAGATTGTTTATTTATACGTTTTATTTAATAAAAAAATAATAAATAGTTTTTAATATTGAGAAAAAAGGACAATAAAAGAATAGTTCTCAAGGAGATAAAAGAGGTGAAATGACGTTGCATTTAAATATTTGAAGATCGTAGATGGCAGAAAAAAAGAAACCGGAAGAAAGTTCCACAAGCGAGAAATGCGAGTGAACAAACTATTAACATAGAACATACAGTTATATCTAACAGTTTCAATAATTAAGGTATGAGACCTAATTCCCAATCTAGTACTGCTCTTAAATTCTTGAAGTCGAGGAACCAAAGAGGAAATCTTATCTAATTACTATAAAAATATTTAGCATAAAACCGTAAGTTCTATGTTAAGAGTTTCTTGATATATAAGCAAAAAAGTATCTACCACAGAATTTATATATTGCATTAAAAATTTTTTTTCTTTAAAAGGTACCTCTTTCATTCAAAATTTCTTCAGAAAGATTTGTTGGAAAAAGAAGTATATATATATATATATATATATATATATATATATATATATATATATATATATATTCATACATGTTTCATTAAATAATATAGACAAGTGTTGTCTATTTATTTTATGTAAATTTTTTTCGTAACGTCTGATAAGTTTAATAACATTATCGTTGAACGAAGAAAGAAATTCACAATATTGATCCATATTCTTTTTTAATACAATCTAAGCTTTCGGCTTACATAAGCCATTATCAAAGATGTCAATTACAACATATTAAGCAATATACGGACATGACAATGATGATAGTCTGTCATTGTTTACATAGATGATTTCTAAGCAACGATAAACACGTGCATATAAGACACTAGAAGCGAAAATCGCACTGCATCTCATGACGTCACACATGACCACACGAGAGTGAATTGTAGAAGTATGGGAAGCCGTTGGTATAAACCAATGGCTTCTGTTACCAATTATAGACATTTAAGAATATTTGTAGAGATGCCATAATTGATTTTGTTTAGGTTGGGTTTCAACTGTTTCATGTATAATGATTCAAGGATTTTTAGTTTTTGTCTATTGTTTTCATGTCGAAGTATAATTGCGTTTTCGATAAGTATTTTACAGAATTGTGTGTGCGGGCAGGCATGTTGTTTTAAAAGCCTAAAAATGTTAGAGTTTTCATTCCAATGTAGTGTCAAGCGTCGGGAAAGCGAATTTGTGGTGTGACCAACATAAATATTATTTAATTCGTTGGAGATACACTCTTCCAAAGGGCACTTGAATTTATAAACTATGTTGGTTTTTTGCAAATCACTAACCGTGGGAGAAGAATCATTGCGAAGAATTAAGTTGGATATACTAGATTTAGTGTAGTATATGATTGATTTAATTTTTTTGCTAGGATCTGTAGTTGATATATTAAAATTTACTAAATTTTTAGTATATTTTCATCTTGTTTATAATTAGTATGTATTTGATTACGATATAGGAGATTAATATATTTGAGATCAGTAGAAGCAGTATTATGTACAATTTGCTTAGTATTGAGATTTCTAAGATAGCATCTTATCTGTTCATCAACTATATAGTTTGGAAAGCTATTATTATATATAAAGCTATTATATATATATATATATATATATATATATATATATATATATATATATATATATACACGAGGGTGAGTAAAAAGTAATTCAATTTGTTTTCTTATATAAGAAATAAGGAACGCAATTAAAGAAATCGTACATCAAGATATACCAAAACATCACAGATTCACATTCCTTTTTCTCAACATAGTTACCATTTCCTTCAACCTAGGAATGAGTGCATGTATCCCAGCTTCGCAAAATCTAGCTGGCTGCTAATGGAGCCAATTCCTTACAGCAGTTTTCACTTCTCCATCACCGCCATAACATTTACCCCTCAATGGCTCTTTCACTGGACCAAAGAGCTGGAAGTCTGAGATTGCTAAATCGAGTCGTCGTATCCTGTCGGCATTCCTACATTTGAAAAAAAAAACGACCTTAAAAAGAAACTGATACTCAATCAAATTCAACGTTCGACTCCTCCAGTGTACCCATACCAGACGTCCCTCTAAGAACTGAGGCACTATTGAGCGGGTTAGACATAACCCCGTCATTGGTATCGGGCATTATCACCAATTTAGACCCCCACAAGAAGAAATTGTCTTGAAGAAATGCGCGCCTGAGCTAGCGCCCGCCCTCTCTAAACTATATAACTACTACCTCAATGAATCCCGTTTTCCTTACTGCTGGAAGTCCTCGTTCATTGTTCCTGTCTTTAAGAACTCTGGAGAACCCTCTGACCCCTCTAATTACCGTCCTATTAGTCTTCTACCCCTCTTCGGCAAAGTCTTCGAAGCCTTAATCAACGCCGGATTGGTTAACCACCTTAACTCCCACGACCTGCTCTCAGACAAGCAATATGGTGATGTGCTTACGGCCATCACTGAAACCGTCTACCAAGCCCTTCAAAACAACGGTGAGGCTCGTGCCGTAGCCCTAGACATCTCCAAAGCGTTTGATAGGGTTTGGCATGCCGGCCTTCTTCGCAAGATCCAGGGTTATGGTATTACAGGTCGATTGTTTGACCTAATACAATCATTCCTGTCAAACCGTGAATTGAAGGTCGTTCTCAACGGATTCTCCTCCAGCTCCTATCCCACGAACGCAGGTGTTCCCCGAGACCCCATCCTTGGCCCCACTCTATTTCTTATTTTCATCAACGACCTTCCTGATGCCATAGATTCTCAAGTTGGCATATACGCGGACGACACTACAATTTACTCCTGCCTCAAAAACAAATCTATTGTCGCTGACAAAACTTACCTGGCC